CTTTGAATCTGCAAATGGGTATTTAGAGGCTAAACAAGCTATTACCATTGACTATTGAAGTCAAAGCTAATACTTTTAAGTAAAAAAGAGACGAAAACATCATATGGTTTAAATTTGACTATATTCGTAGTTATAAACGATCTCTCCTTCATCTTAATCAGAAGCCTGTCAGCATAAAAAATAATTATTAAATTTATTACTATTATTAATTTATAATTGTTTATATAGGCCTAGTTATTTATAATTACTAACTAAACTAGGCATGCGGCCTTAGGTCCGCCAATTGAGCGGAGTAAGCAAGCTTTGATATTATAAACAAATAACTTTAATTTGATTCATGATTCAAATTGAATACATGATGACGTCACCATAGCAACAATCCAATTGAATTCTCGTGGTTGGTTGGAAAAGTTGAAGAAAATATGAATCCAGTCAGCTGTTTCTATTAGGTCATTGATTTTTACTTGTTTATATGAGTAATAGTAAAACTGTTATTTGTAATAGCATAAAGATAAGTATTATTTTGTCAATATCCTAATGTTTGTTTAGCTTCCATTTATGTAATAGGCCTATAGGCTTCCTTCTCATTTTCTCCAACTAAAACATTTAGCCAATTAGTAAACTTTGCTCAGCGAACAGAATGACATAAGAAGGTGACTATATATGGCAATACCATTACCATAGTCAATGGTCACCACAGGAAATAAGGCGTGGCTAATTTCACGAGCTGATGATACAGTACTCTGAAAAAGTTGGTGGTTGCCGCGACGCTAGTGGCATTGAATTGGTGAAGTTTGCGCTAGCTCCGCCCCGTTGCCAAAATAGGCCTACTGTACTCAATAAATAGATTAGATTTTAAAGACGGCACTGGATAGAGAATTGATGAATTAAACAAGAATATATTTATTCCTCATGCTAAATTACAGCATGATTAAGTAAAATACTGTATATGCATATTAACTACTGTAACAAAATTATTAAAATCAAATATAAAAGACGTTTTTATATTAGGACATCTGGGTAAAGATTCTAAAAACAAAAGCTACTAAATTTTCTCAGGCTTGAACCAGCAGTCATCCAATCATCAGGTGAGGACTACAAATTTTTTTACATAAACACTAGTGTGCATATTATATAGTCAATGCTACAACTTCTTAGCTACAAAATTGTTTCATAAAAATATAACAAAATCAAAATACGCCAGTTTTTTTACTAAAATATCAGGCTACTTAAATAATTTTGTAAGCGATAGAATATAAACACATTAAACTAACATCGATATCAATTTGCAACTTGTGTAACTGTAATCGACCAATTGCCGTGTAACAAACCCCTAAGGAAAACGTTCCGGAACTGTTATCACGAGGGCGTAACACGTTCCACAACCTATTACCACGCAGTAACCGGTTACTTGGAGCTATCAGACGATATCCACGTTTTAATTTGCCTTGTAATAACAGGGTGGACTCAACGCCGCGCGCGGTGGCCGATTTACTTATCAGATTCGGATACTGAGTTTCACTTTGTATGATTTATAATGAGTTTGGTGATTAGGATTTAGTGACAAGTATTTCCGGGTGGGAGCCCTTTCTTTTTGGAGGGTAATAAATCAAAGGTTTAATCAGAGTAGCTTTTATTAACGATAGTTTGAGTTATAGGATGATTACCTTTCCTATTCACTACACAATCCCAATTAAATGGCGTGTCTTATGCCTGGTTATTGTGTCTCTAATTGCAGTACGAAAGTGACGTGTCTGATTCCCAACAGTTCCACAAAAATATAAAAGTTTTGGAACACTTTCCATTAAAACTTTTAAGAGTTTTTCCCTTAAGTAAACGACTATGATAAAATTATAAACAATCTTAATCTGAATAAGAATCACGGAGGGTAAATGTATGTACAATTGATTATTAGTCAACCAACTTGCATACGATAAGCATTTCCATAAATAACCGTAACTGAATAAGTTGTCAATAACATTTTAGTTGGCTTGTGAAAAGACGAGGCATTTTATTTGAAATTCTATTTACTTAACAAAGGTTTTAACATTTAAGCACCTTTTACAAATATACTTACACGGAAATACAAACTGACCCAGGCTAACGTTTTCTCATTAGAAATAATTTCTTAGTATTTTGGCTAAATAGCGCTCAATTCATAGCATTGAGGATTTTTTTGGAAAAGGTAACATGCAGAGCACACGGTTAAAAAGTAAATCCTAATAACTTAATAATCAAAAGATTTTTTGAGTCATTCTCTTTTAGATAAACAGTCGGCTAGACAGTGCAACTTTGCAAATACACTAACTACACTTAAGTACACTATGTGTACTTAATAATCAAGCTTTGACATATAAAAAAATTAAACTATTCATACCCCTGGAACAGTAATTTTGTATGATGAAATCACGTTGGAGCTACGTATAGTATAGTATACTGCTGTAAAATGTTACGTAAATATCTATCAAGCAATTATCTCAATCACTTATTTTGACGATTTTACGACCGACCGACAATTGTCTAATCAAATTTAATTGACAGAAATTTATGGCTTTCTCCTAGACAGACAGTTTTCACGTAGGAAACTATCCTATAATGAGAGTTAGCGGTTCTGTACAATTACCTAGATAAACCACAACAGACAAGCCTTCTAACCACAAACTGTGAAAGGTCATAGACAATACCTGGGAATATCAGGCTTAATTGTGATGAGGCATTTCTGATATGTTTGTTAACTTTATGTAACGTATTACCGATGTAATCCTGTCTGTAGGAAGTGAAAGTATTGTCTTTACACAATTAATATTTAATAGAGATATTTCCGTGTAGGGAGATTTGTAAGTAAGACACAGTTCTCTTCGTCTAAGAAATTAAAGATTTCTTTCTTACTTTCTTCTTTTTTCCTGACAGATGGAGCTACAATTTCAGGAGGATTCCGAGCTGTCGGGTCACGGCATTATCACAATTATCATGGTTTAACTCTGAGAAAAATCAGTAGCTTTTTGATAGTTGGAAACTACACCGGCTTTTAAGTCCTGGCTTACTAAACAGCTGATCTTACTCATCAACAAAGCTACACTCCCTTCCTGTCAAAATCGCATCCTTCAGTCATCTCCGCATAAAATGTGTATAGACGTCATACAAAATTACTGTAATCTAAATTCACTAACAAGCGAGTTTTGTCAATACTTCCTCTAACAGCTCGTACCATGATTAAGAGGTGAAAGCCCCATTGTACCCCGCTGGGTTGGGGATCATAGGTCAAGAAAAGAGGTCGACGCTATGTCAGTCGCCCACTCAGACAGTCGAGCGGTATCTCAATTGTGAGCTAGTTAGCTGAACAAACACAATATAATGTTATCTTTGATAGTGCTTGGTGCTTGCACTCTTTTTATATTACAAGAGAAGAAATGTAGCTCTTTTTTAAATATTTTTTTATAAAACAGATACCTTGGTCATAAAAATGGCTCGGACAAGTTTATAGTGCTAGCTTGGCAATAGGAAGGTCGTCAGCTTCGTTATGATACATTATAGTATCTTTTTGATAATTCACTGGCCCCAGATGAGCTTGATAATTATTGGCAATAGCTATAACAAAGTTTCTTGTCAATCTCACTCCATTCTACAATCACCCTGAATTCGTATTCAGCAATGCGTGCACAAAGAAAGGGTATTGATGTCTTAAAGATGTGATTAAGCAAAAATATCTTGGCTGTGACAGGGGTGTTTAAGTATTCCACTTTCAATGGTGGGAGTGCAGATATTTTTTAATTTGATTTAATGAACCACAACATTATCTCAAGTACTCCCATCCCATTGCGAGACACAAAAAAGCAACTATTATTTCTTTTAAGTATTATGACAAGCCCAAGTTCACCATGACAACCCACATGTCCTTTTTCAGAGATCTTTACTCAGCCAAGGCCCCGTCCCCCGTCAGTCGCCGGGACAAACAGTTCTTCAGCAGCTATTTGCATGCCAGTCAAGAAGCTATTGGCCTTTCAACTGGGCCAAGGTCGATTTTTGACCCCTCGCAATAAAGGCTGCCCACTTTTATAACAAGTCTCTTTACCTTTATGCCTTAAGGTCAATGGTTTCCACGAAGGGTAGTCATGTTTAATCCTACGTACTTGTGACAAATCATCAAAGTTTTGAATTCAAGGAAACTGTGTCGTGATTGCGACAGTTCAGTGGGTGAAGAGGCCACAGGTGGTTCCAGTAATATCTTCAGCGTACAGGAAACGGATATGTTGAAGGTTTTTTAGTATTGGGGTTATCAAGGGGGTTAAATTACTCTGATAAGAGTCATTAGTGTAGATATTTAATTGTAAGTATGTATAGATCGTATAGAATGAATAGATATTTATGGATTTATGGCTATAATCTAGGTATAATCATCAGCCCTTTTCAAACACCCAATCTGTCAACAGATGAATATACTTTTCAGTAGAACCCATGTTGTTCATGATACTTGAGATTAGGCAATACAAAATGCTTGGATGTGCGCAAGGTTAAATTGGCCATTGCCCTACTCTCATTAGAATTTACCTTATTGATTACTTCCAATATTTTTGCACCGCCTTAACATTAAGAAAATTAACTATAAATTGACGACGAGGCAAAAGAGTGCAATATTTACTATTGAAACATTTAATCTCGCAGGCTTGTTACGGGCCATCCTCTAAGTTTAAATTGCTTATACAAATCTGGATGAACAGCTAATTATCTAACGAAACCAAATACAGTACAGGGGTTCGAGAGAAAATACTTTCAATGCATAATAATTAGATCATCTTACACTATCATCTTAGATCAACAAACCGTTTTGGAGTTATGCATAACCGTGCGCATTCTTTCGGAGCAGAACCTAGGGTCGAAGGGTCCCCACTCTATTCTGAGTCCACCGATTTAAGGATTCAATTGATACACATCAAAATTGCAAGCTCCTTACCAAAACAATATATTGCTTGATTAACAGATAATAATGAAGACAGACTGACCATTTCTACCCTGTGGGACGGCATATGTGAGGTCTGTGAACTCTATGTCTATAGGAGGCCTCTTCAGCAGATGTTGTTTGGGCTCCTCCAACTCTACTGTTTCAGATTCAGGTGCTGCGCTTGGACTCATCCTGGAACATGGTAACAATAGATAAGTTAATGGAAACTGTCAAGACATTATAAAATACAACCTGTAATAGTGTGTTTATTTTTTTCAATTGAATAAGAAGAGAATATAAGGTCGTGGCAATCTTCATGGATGGATTTCGTGGCTGGACTCAGAATCCATAGATTTTTCTGCGTCAACTACGTTGTCAGATGAAATTCTCAGCCGTATGTTTCGCCTTGCTGTGAAGTCACATCCTCAGTAAACTTAACTAAGTTAAGGCTGGGGAACAGTGAGAGGTCCGGCCAAATATAATGAATTTGATATTAATGGCAATGAACACAAATCGGCTGAAGAAGTTGTATTTTATTCGTTCTGCTGTAGTATTTACTTTTCAATCCTCTTTCTATAAACTGACTCACCGATTTTTCACTATAGAGTTTTTCTATCTACTTGACTCTATTTCTTATGTTACTAATGTTTCTGATTGACGTAGGCTAATTCTTCCTGGGAAAACATAAGCATAAATGCTGTAGTTTCACAGAGATTTCTTCATTTTATTTTTGATTCAATTGTGATTTTTGTATAGTTTTTCCTAGACATTTTGAGTTTTCTACTAGTTTTATCTTTATTTGATTGGGTTCAAATATGTGTATATCAATCGATTTAGTTTCTAACACTCATAGAACCCAATATACCACACTCTCACCACCAGGTGGTTTCCTTTGACTTTCAATTCTGTAATTAAACTCATGCCGAGTAGTTTCCTGGTGTAAATATAGAACCTCATTATATTTTATCGCCTCAAATTTCGTAACTCGCCCCAGGTAATCTATACTGATCCCCGGGCCTTCCATCGGAATGAGCCGAAATCACAGGTTGAGTAACACCTCCGAAATCAATCGACCCAAATATTTCTTCTCTGTTTTGGGGAATTAGTGGGTTTTGAAATCTGTGAAATGATATCTACTGACCTTGTGCTTCTAATCCATTAAGTGGTCTAGGGATTATTTAAAGAATCTGTGAAGAAATCGCATTAGTATGTGAGAAGTCTCGACATGGAGGATTCAGTGATTAGAAGGTCAAATACAATATTGAATGTTCCATAGATTTATACTAATACATTAAGGGTTTCCTCTGCACCATCCTTTTTCTAGCCGTCCTACTAAACTGATGTTTAAGATTTTTAGTTTTAATGACTTAGCCTCGGAATAGTATATTTCATTACTAGGACCGAAAGTGGCATTTTCCGTCGCGCGCTCAAGTTTTTGTGTGAGGCGAAGCCTAACACATGGAACATCAATTTCACGTGCGAGGCGAAGCCGAGTATGTGAGAGCTATCTTCACGTACGAGGCGAAGCCGAGGACGGGAATAATGGAGCAAGTGCCGGATAATAACTTTCGGTACGAGTTATGAACGATACTTTTCATCACGACGCAAAAATACACAAACACAGAATAGCATACCTCAGTAATATTACAACTATTTTATTTCTCAATTAATTTGATTGAACATCAAAATAAAATATAAAAAAATTCTAAAAGGAAACCCACGTATATTTCTCAATACATTTTGTTTAAATATCAAAATAAAAGAATAAAACAACCTTGAACAATACGCATACAGCTGATTCAAATCATTAAATTAAAACATAACAAAACACCAGCGCGCGTAGTGAATAAATGGAGAACTAATTGAGAGCGAGAAATACATTTATACGTTTATGTATATATACGTTTATTAATACGTTTATTAATACGTTTATGTATTAAAAAGACACTTTCACTCCGTGTGATGATCAATTATTTTTATCATACTGTGGAAATAACCTTTTAATCGTTGCAAATTGTAAAGTAAACGAAAAAAATCATTATTTATCGATGTTTACATTTCTGTTGTTTAAAAAAATAACTTAAAATGTCGTGTGATTAGCAGCGTTTTATAACGTGCCATAAACAAATTTTGAAGTTAGCGAACTGAAATATTTCACATATGTTTTTTCTGTTCCCTATTTGATGTTACCCAGAAACGATGATTTTACGGACGATTTAGAGAACTAAAAACGGCTGTTCTCCGGACAGTATGATGAAAACTAATTTTGGGTCCTATTAAACTGAAAAATTTACGAATAGGTCCCCTCGACTTATTCAAAAACACGCAAAGTAGTAGAACATATTAAAAATTACAAAAGTTCGAGAGTAATGTTTTAGAAAAGAGAACAAATTATTGGAAACCCAAAATTAAGTGAAATTCGATAAAACCTTAACCATTGCCATTTACGCTCAACATGCTATAAAGTTATATAACGTAGCAGGAAGGCGGGTCTGAGAATAATCAGCTGTTGAATCGACAAATGGTTAAAGTAAGTGTTTCGCAACATACTCGCACGTCTATGTCCATCTCTTAACGCTCAAAGTAGAGCCGCCATGTTGACATAAGCAGCACTGAGTCGTTTAGTTAAATTAACCTACTTATTTATGTAGGTTTCTCCATGTGAACAGTTGACTATTCATAGCTTTCACCTATTGTTCTAGTTTTATCCAATACATAAAAAAATATATTGTTTTATATAAAAAATTGCAGAAGCTATGTTTATATAGGTAGCCTATGAAAAAAACCATCCCCAACTTCTTTTATTGCAAGTTTGTTAAGTTCAGTGATTTATATTGATGCGTGTATTTTTGAGAATTATCCTGTGGTTTAGAAATCACGAGAATGAAATAACTATCCTTAATTACATTGATTTGACCAAACTTGTATTTTTCCAGTCTGGGGCCACTAACGAATTTTGATTAACGTTTGTACTGTAGTTGAAATCAACGGGGAATACTCATAATTGAGTATTTATTTGCCCTTTGGGTTTAAAGATATCCATTTGAAATTTATTTCAATTATATAACCAACTATACATAATTAAAACAGGCTTTTTATAAAAAAATAAAAAAAAACACTAACCAAGTAAAAATTTAAGGTCTTGTTTGTGAAAAAATTCTGTCAGTGCTAGCATTTTTCTTACTATGCATTAACATATCTAAACGTATTCGGACGTTGGCTCACAACAACAAAAATATCAACAATGATTATAAGATTTTACATAAGGGTAAGGAATGTTGGTTATTATCGTTAATTCAACACCACAAATTTTAGTTTCCCGATTATTCCCCACCGTATTTTTACATAGAAGTGATTAAAAAAACATGCTCATCTTATTATTCGACAAAATGCAAGAATATTTTAGGCTGTTCAAGTACAAAAAAGGAGTATTGTGTACGCTTATAACGTTTTGTACACAACGAGGTGATTTTGTTACCAAAATTAGATCATAAAAATGTGTTTTTGCATATAGTTTTGCCCGACTTATTCAAAACCTAACATGATAGAAAACGGAATATCGCGTAATAAAATTTCATGACCGAAATGTTTTTGCACACCAAAATACAATGGAATAAACCAATCCAATATAAATACTGACAATCGCCTTCAAAACTATTAAAAATTTGACTACAGGATTCCGAGTTTGTAAATCAACTAACTTGCGCTGCATGCACCCATTGCAGAGAGCAAGTCCAGTACTTCATTACTGACTGACCACTGCACAGTGAACCTTGACCCCTCATCCTTGACTCAAGGTCTGCGGTAAGACCAGCGGTGTAGCAAGTCCCCGACCTTCCTTCCTTCCTCCTGTCCGGACTCCGAATGTCAAACGGGTTTAGAGACAAAAAATGACGTGGTTTTCGCACCGGTTCCTTGAAGACCAAATCCTGCTGACAAATCTTCATTTGCATACAATGGAGAGGATCGACATGCGTGTTATGAAGAATTGAAGGAAAGATTTGTGTTTTGTTTTCAAGTATTGCTATCAAGGTTTGAACGCCTGAGTGTGTTGATATGCCAGAGAACCACTGGTTATTGGCTCGAGGGCTCGAGTATGGCTTAATCAGACCTGCCAGGCCACCAAAGATTAGAATATTGAAATAGGTTAAATTTATCAGACGTATCAATGAAACCTAGGAGAATGACGGAACTTAACCTTAATATATGTAGCTTAAAACTTATACTAAGTACAGTAAAATCAACATATTGTCCACTTTGATGTAACTCTTCATTAATTACAACCACAAACAGAACTCAACACTTAACCACTTCTACATTTATTGATTTTAACCTATAACATTTGTAATCCTGTCCCTAAATTTGGTTACACAATTTAAGTGAACACGAACATACGTCGTACATACCCAGTGTTAGAGTATGTTTGATCCATAATACGCATTAACAAGGTAAAATTGACTTTAGAACAAGAATATGAAAACAATAAAATAATATAAATTTATATCTGTAGTACTTCAGATACATCGTGTCTTGTCTTTGCACTAAACACATTATTACTTTTTACCTACAATCATCAGCTACTAATGCATAAATATCCAAAGTACGAGCGAAGGAGAAGTGGAAATAGAAGGATCAATGGGTGATTGAACCCCGACCCATTATCACCCATCACCCATCGAGTGGGTCTCACCCAGCGAAATCCATCCTTGTCTTCAATCTACTCCAGCCGTGTTTCCTGGTTATGGTTTTTGTAGTTGTAAATCAATCGCTACTTTCACTATCTTGTTACCTCACGAATGAATCGATTGAATAGTGATTAAATTAAATAATCTCAACACTTAATCTTAGGTATCAGCCAGTATTTTATGCGCAGTTCATTTCATGCAATTAATATTAACGTTCTTTTTGGCGAGGGAAGCTACTTTTAGCTCTTGCATGAAAAAACATTTCGTTTCCACGATTAAGAAAAATTTTCTCTCAGATAATCTAGAGCGAATCGTCTTTAAAGACGGCTAAGTCTTTTGTCATTGTTTGTGATATGACGAGTCCTATGTTTTATCGGTGCATCCTGGTGCATTTACTCACGGAAATAAATGTTTGATACATATTATACAGACAATTTTAACCATTTCTCAGATTTTTACGAGAATTATTCTGGCTATAAACATATACAGTACATACTATAAATGTTCTAGTTTTAAGAAAATCATACTTTAAGGGAAATAATCAATGTCTCACAATTAAATATTCCCTGGATATAATTAAAATTGATTTCAAAGGGTGGTACTATAGAAATTGTATTTCTTTTGTGGCTTTGTACAATACGATAGTCAATGAGGACATAATCACAAGACCTGAGATGTAAGAGAACGTGTTAATTATATTCAGTTTTTATGATCATGCAGGACATTGCGTTATGTTTCACATTACGTAGTGACTCAACGTCATATCACGGTTCTGCTCCAGATGTGGAGGTCAACGTCCGCGTTATCATCAGAGAAACGTTATCACAACATCCGACAGCTTTCTGCAAACATCGCACGTGTTCCTCGACATCTCTATCAGACAGTCTTCCTGGCGGAGCTCAACATGGGGAAACTTGTGCTCATTATGCGGGTGGAAGACTCCAATGTAAGTTCCTGGGTCCTCAAAGGTGTGACTACGAATAAATGTTATTGGGACCAAGAATTAAAAACCTTTTTGTCAGTAATTTTACTAATTTTAACAGAAGTAAATAGACTGAGTCACACATATAACAACAAGGTTGGAAGGGTTGGAGTAAGTTGAATTGCAAAAGCAAGACTAGAGTAAGAGCAAGAATCTTTTTAGACAAATGATAAGCAGGAAGATCTAATCGGTTGTTTTCGGAATTATTATGAAACTATCAAACTAGCCGTAGGTAAATGTTAACATGTTGAAGTAGTTTGTCAGCTACCAATAATTTTTAGAAAGGAGTAGGCTTCAAGTACAAATGCAAGAAGATTATATGTTTAATTTACAGAGACACACTGGTATAAGTATTTACAACTATGAGGATGACCTAGCAAATATTTTCCAAGCATTAGAAATCAATGGCAAATCCGATGCGGTTTACCTATACATTCTTTCTTGTAGATTTATCACGCTTATGTTTTAACTGAAAAACATTTTACATTATGTTTCTGTCCAATATGTAGGGTGAGTTTTATGCACTATTTATTTCTTGTTGTTCCTGTGGAAAATAAAATCTCTTGCTTTAAGTTATTCCTCTTCTTTAAGTGTTAAGACCAAAGAGTGAAAGACAAATTGTAGAATTTGCAATGAAATAACGTGTTAAATATATTTGAAATCAGGGTCCACCAAAGTGACCCAACCATCGAGCAAATAGTATTCATGAATATTATGTACTCTATGGTCCAGACACTTAATACAAATCCAAGTAGGCTTCCCAGTTTACAGGATGATAAGACTACTTGTGTATTGTGAAAGTCAATTGTTTTCGTTGTAACTGTTCTAGGTCTTTACAGTTACACTGGTGTATTATCAGTTACATGGTCTTATCAAGTCGTTCTGTTGAACAGTAACAGTAAATAATAACAGTACAGAAATATATGTGTTGTCATTGTTACTCATTCGATGAAATCTGACTGTGGAAATAATATTCTTTGCTGTAGTTATTTAGCAAAGCTGCCGAAATAATCAGTTCTAGCCCTCCGACGACAGTAAAAGTCTTATATAGTTATGCGAAAAAAAAACAACAATGGAATTTTACAATAGGAACAACGAAATGCCAGATTTTCTGCATACACTTTGCAGGTTTGTGGACCATAAAAATTAACATTCCAAATACACCGTTTTGTATAATTTATTGTATACTAATGTATAGAACTTTACTATATAGAAATAGGAATTTACTGATGTACTAAATGTATTGAATAACAGGAGTAAATAACCATGAGTTTGGTTTCATTACAACATTTTAAACTATGTATTTATGCACAGTCAATTTGTCTATTTAAAAACTCCTTTACAATCATTTTTAAAATCTTTCCAGGTAAACCAAGGAGTGTACAGTTAATAGGTGATTAACCTATCATTTACATAACAGGAGTTGCATGTAATGAAGTGATGCTTACGTAATTTAATCAGTGAAAACTTGACGTAGTTATTTAATCTTCCAACTTCCTCGTTATAAAATATTAAGTAGATAGTCAAGATCATTGAACTTTTCTCGTTTTTCTCTGATTGTTGAAACTTGTATTGCTATTGTAATGGATTGTAACAATGTATCCCTGCAATATAAATTAGATAATGTTGTCTTTAATTTTCAATTAGCTGCAAATATATTTGCATCAGACTTTGTTTTATTAGAGATTTTTAAACATCCGTATAAAAAATTGTAAGGAATTCAGCTATAACAGTTACTTAAACAATAATTACCTTACATTATTGAAATGTAGGGCTGAATACCCTGTTACTGAAATGTAACAGTTACACTTAATGTTTAGCCAAATTAGTATTTGAAAACTAGAGTAATTATTTTATTAATTTTATCATAAAAATGTGCAAAACAATGTTAAATAATTTTTATTTCATTTGGGGGCCCCTCAATAAATAAATACTTTAATCCAATTTAAATTGCAAGTACCTTACTGTTTTAAAAGTTAAACATCGCTTGTTTCTGAGTTTCTCTCCTTATTGAAGCGTCCTTAATGATGTGTTCGTCCTGACTAAAAGAAAGACATAATGTGTGTTTTTATCGCCATCATCGTTGGCCTGAATTAAACTGGGAAGTGTTACGCAAAGTTTAAGAGTAGGCACGATAATTTCGGCAACTAATTATTGGCTGACTGTAATATTAACTTTTGTATATCAAGGTGGATATCAATAGGAACCAGCTGTAGCCATTTTTGAACAGAAAATAGTTAAATAACGGCAATAGTGTCTTACGGGGTTTGTTATTGTTTAAATTATATTTCCCATATAACTTACTTCACTATGAAGAGACATAAAAAATAGACTAGTTTAACAAGTTTTCCTTTCTCTTTGGGTTGGTCGATAACTTGGTAAATGAAACAGAAACTAACTATTGCCAAACTTCATTCTCTATAGCTCAAGTCAACTACATAAAACTTAAATTTGGAAACTGGCTTAAAGCGTTAACATCGGGATGAAAAAACTGCTTACTTTGAGCTACTGTTAAATCTTCTATATGCGTATTGTGACGGTTAGTCACAAGAATTATTTTCAAAATCTTTTGATTATTTTTAAAAGAATTTACCAGTGGGTCATTGGAATATAGTGTGCACAATTTTTGATGACACGTATAGACTACCTGGATCGAACCATTGAACCCGATGGACTCAGCAGTTGCGACTTGGAGACACTGAGACTTAGTTATACCGAAAGGTTCACACTTGGCCCCAGACCTTTTGGGGCACATAATCTTTCCCCGCTTTTTTGTTTCCCCTATATGCACAGTATATTGAGAAAGCATTGTTTCGTCAAAAATTTCGAGCTCGAGTTTTTGGTGGAAATTGGGTCCTTCTGAACACAAAAAGTAGTTTTCTTAGTAGTTATTACTTAAATAATTTTCATATCAGTGATTGTCTGATATTTTTCATGTTTTGTTATCGATACGTGTACTCAAATTATCGATGAATTTGATTTTCTTATTTGAATGAAAGGCTGAGTTAGTGTAGGTTTACATTTATCGCTGTCTTTTACCTCATTTGAGGGTTTAACGAAAGTGAAAAATATAAATAAGACTTATTTAAGTTGAAAATTTCGTAAAGAATAATAAAACGTACAGTTTTTAAGTAAATAATTGAAACCGTAATTTTATTGCATGGTATGTGTCACTTTAAGTATAAAATACAGACAATTATAAAGAAATAAGAAAAAATATACGATCGTATTAGCATTTTGTTAATTAAATCCCAGCATTTAAATTCGTATACCTAAATCC